TCCTTCAAGTTGTCAACTGTACCTCAAGTTGTCAACTGTCCTTCAAGTTGTCAACTGTCCTTCAAGTTGTCAACTGTCCTTCAAGTTGTCAACTGTCCCTCAAGTTGTCAACTGTCCTTCAAGTTGTCAACTGTCCTTCAAGTTGTCAACTGTACCTCAAGTTGTCAACTGTCCTTCAAGTTGTCAACTGTCCCCGAAGTTGTCAACTGTCCTTCAAGTTGTCAACTGTCCTTCAAGTTGTCAACTGTCCTTCAAGTTGTCAACTGTCCCTCAAGTTGTCAACTGTCCCTCAAGTTGTCAACTGCCCCTCAAGTTGTCAACTGTCCTTTAAGTTGTCAACTGTCCTTCAAGTTGTCAACTGTCCTTCAAGTTGTCAACTGTCCTTCAAGTTGTCAACTGTCCTTCAAGTTGTCAACTGTCCTTCAAGTTGTCAACTGTCCCTCAAGTTGTCAACTGTCCCTCAAGTTGTCAACTGCCCCTCAAGTTGTCAAACTGTCCTTCAAGTTGTCAACTGTCCTCAAGTTGTCAACTGTCCTTCAAGTTGTCAACTGTCCCTCAAGTTGTCAGCTGTCCCTCAAGTTGTCAACTGTCCTTCAAGTTGTCAACTGTCCTTCAAGTTGTCAACTGTCCTTCAAGTTGTCAACTGTCCTTCAAGTTGTCAACTGTCCCTCAAGTTGTCAGCTGTCCTTCAAGTTGTCAACTGTCCTTCAAGTTGTCAACTGTCCTTCAAGTTGTCAACTGTACCTCAAGTTGTCAACTGTCCCTCAAGTTGTCAACTGTCCCCGAAGTTGTCAACTGTCCTTCAAGTTGTCAACTGTCCTCAAGTTGTCAACTGTCCTTCAAGTTGTCAACTGTCCCTCAAGTTGTCAATGCCTTCAAGTTGTCAACTGTCCTTCAAGTTGTCAACTGTCCTTCAAGTTGTCAACTGTCCTTCAAGTTGTCAACTGTCCTTCAAGTTGTCAACTGTCCTTCAAGTTGTCAACTGTCTTACAAGTTGTCAACTGTCCTTCAAGTTGTCAACTGTCCTTCAAGTTGTCAACTGTCCCTCAAGTTGTCAGCTGTCCTTCAAGTTGTCAACTGTCCTTCAAGTTGTCAACTGTCCTTCAAGTTGTCAACTGTCCTTCAAGTTGTCAACTGTCCTTACAAGTTGTCAACTGTCCTTCAAGTTGTCAACTGTCCTTCAAGTTGTCAACTGTCCCTCAAGTTGTCAACGTCCTTCAAGTTGTCAACTGTACCTTCAAGTTGTCAACTGTCCTTCAAGTTGTCAACTGTCCTTCAAGTTGTCAACTGTCCTTCAAGTTGTCAACTGTCCCTCAAGTTGTCAACTGTCCTTCAAGTTGTCAACTGTCCTTCAAGTTGTCAACTGTCCTTCAAGTTGTCAACTGTCTTTCAAGTTGTCAACTGTCCTTCAAGTTGTCAACTGTCCTTCAAGTTGTCAACTGTCTTCAAGTTGTCAACTGTCTTCAAGTTGTCAACTGTCCCTCAAGTTGTCAACTGTCCTTCAAGTTGTCAACTGTCCTTCAAGTTGTCAACTGTCCCTCAAGTTGTCAACTGTCCTTCAAGTTGTCAACTGTCCTTCAAGTTGTCAACTGTCCTTCAAGTTGTCAACTGTCCCTCAAGTTGTCAACTGTCCCTCAAGTTGTCAGCTGTCCATGAAATTGCCAGTTGTTAATCAACTTGTCAGCTGAGAGTTACTTGTCCCATGATTGTTACAGGTTTATGAATATTTAACACTGCAAGACTGTTACAACCAGTAGGATTGTTACAACCAGTAGGATTGTTACAACCAGTAGGATTGTTACAACCAGTAGGATTGTTACAACCAGTAGGATTGTTACAACCAGTAGGATTGTTACAACCAATTGGATTGTTACAACCAGTAGGATTGTTACAACCAGTAGGATTGTTACAACCAGTAGGATTGTTACAACCAGTAGGATTGTTACAACCAGGAGGATTGTTACAACCAGTAGGATTGTTACAACCAGTAGGATTGTTACAACCAGTAGGATTATTACAACCAGGAGGATTGTTACAACCAGGACAAAGATCACGACAGCCAGGAAGATGACTGGGTGGGTAGTGAGAACTTTCAAAACAAGGGTAATAATGCCAATGGTGACACTCTTCAAATCGCTAGTGCTCTCTCACTTAGAATATTGTTCAGTGCTGACGGCCCCGTTCAAGGCAGGAGAAATATCGGAGCTGGAACAAATACAGAGATCGTTTACGGCTCACATTGAACCAGTACAGCACCTAAACTACTGGGAACGCCTGCAAGTCTTGAACATGTACTCACTAGAGCGGAGGAGAGATACATGATAATATATACCTGGAAAGTACTCGAGGGCTTGGTCCCAAATCTGCACACTGCCATAACAACATACTGGAGTGAGAGATATGGGAGGAAGTGTAAAATAAACCCAGTGAGGAGCAGGGGTGCGGTGGGGACAATAAGGGAACACTGTATCAACATCCTGGGTCCCAGACTTTTCAACATCTTACCAGAAGATATCAGAAACACGGCTGGAACAAGTGTAGAAGCCTTCAAGAGGAAACTGGACAAGTATCTTCACCAGGTGCCAGATTAACCAGGCTGTGATGAATATGTGGGGCAGCGGGCTACCAACAGCAACAGCCTGGTTGACCAGGCAAGCACCAGACGAGCCTGGCCCATAGCCGGGCTCAGAGAGTAGACAAACTCTCGAAACTCTTCAAAGGTAAGGTAAGTAGGATTGTTACAACCAGTAGGATTGTTGCAACCATTAGGATTGTTACAAGGAGAAGGATTGTAACACCCAGTAGGATTGTTACAACCAGTATTATTGTTACAAGGTGAAGGATTGTAACAGCCAGTAGGATTGTTACAACGCTTAGAGTTACCACAACATAAGGAAGAAGCACTGAGTAGGTACAGCCCATGCAATAGGTAAGTCCTGTTCACCCGAGTTTGTTACAAATAAGTTGTTAAGCCATTTTTAACAGCTGAAGTGATAGTACAAGTGAAAGAATTGTTAAACCATGAAAAAATAGTGCTTTAAAAAGTGCTTTAAAACTAGTGCTTTAAAGAATAGGCTTTAAGCAGTGCTTTAAGCATAGTGTTAAAAAATGTCCTTTTAAAATAGTGCTTTTAAAAATAGTGCTTTAAAAATAGTGCCTTTAAAACTAGTCTTTAAATAGCTTTACAAAAATAGTGCTTAAAATTGCTTTAGAAAAATTGCTTAAAAATAGTGCTTTAAAAAGTGCTTTAAAAATAGTGCTTTAAAAATAGTGCTTTAAAAATAGTGCTTTAAAAATAGTGCTTTAAAAATAGTGCTTTAAAAATAGTGCTTTAAAAAAGTGTTATGTGCTTTAAAAATAGTGCTTTAAAAAGTGCTTTAAAATAGTGCTTTAAAAATAGTGCTTTAAAAAGTGCTTTAAAAATAGTGCTTTAAAAATAGTGCTTTAAAAAGTGCTTTAAAAATAGTGCTTTAAAAAATAGTGCTTTAAAAATAGTGCTTTAAAAATAGTGCTTTAAAAATAGTGCTTTAAAAATAGTGCTTTAAAAATAGTGCTTTAAAAATAGTGCTTTAAAAATAGTGCTTTAAAAATAGTGCTTTAAAAATAGTGCTTTAAAAATAGTGCTTTAAAAATAGTGCTTTAAAAATAGTGCTTTAAAAATAGTGCTTTAAAAAATAGTGCTTTAAAAATAGTGCTTTAAAAAATAGTGCTTTAAAAATAGTGCTTTAAAAATAGTGCTTTAAAAATAGTGCTTTAAAAAAGTGCTTTAAAAAATAGTGCTTTAAAAAGTGCTTTAAAAATAGTGCTTTAAAAAATAGTGCTTTAAAAAGTGCTTTAAAAATAGTGCTTTAAAAAAGTGCTTTAAAAATAGTGCTTTAAAATAGTGCTTTAAAAAATAGTGCTTTAAAAAATAGTGCTTTAAAAAATAGAGCTTTACGGACCGTGGTGGTGATTCCCGAAATTCTCAGCGGTATACTCCAGGTACACTCTGGCTACAATAAGGTTGATTTTTAAGAGCATTGCACTAATCTATGAACCTTATACACTTGGTGGGGCTTCACCACCACTGGCCCAGTCATAGTGGGTGCCTAGTGTGGTGGCACCCTGCCTGTCGTCACTAACAGCGTGGTTGATCAGGTGGTCAGAAGGGTGGCCTGGTTTGGGACTGGGTCGCTGGGGTGATGATGCATGGTACCAACAACAGATAAAATCATGCGAGGTGTGGTGTTAATGTCCTTCTTTCAGCAACTTAACTGACTCAGCAGCTTAACCTCACTGGGCATCATGCACTTACTATGGAAGTTTACAATGGTGGCACTGTACTTACTATGGAAGTTTACATTGATGGCACTATACTTACTATGGAAGTTTGCAATGGTGGCACTGTACTTACTATGGAAGTTTACAATGGTGGCACTGTACTTACTATGGAAGTTTACAGTGGTGGCACTGTACTATGGAAGTTGAGAACAATGGCACTGTAATGTGGAAGTAAAGAACGGTGGCACTGTACTTACTAAGGAAGCTGAGAACGGTGGCACTGTACTTAACACTACCAACAGCCTAACTAATCAAGTTACTAAAAGAGGAAGTTTGGTCTGGGACCGAGCCCCGAGGGCGATGATTCTGGCGGTCAAGACCAACCTACCCGATTTTCCATAACGAATTAGGCAATGAAAAGTGGTAGTGTACTTACCATGGGAGGTGAGTATGGTGACAATGTATTTACCATGGGAGGTGAGTATGGTGGCAATGCACTTACCATGGTAGGTGAGGATGGTGGTAGTGTACTTACATGGAAGATAAGTATGGTGGTAGTGTACCTACCATGGGAGGTGAGGATGGTGGTAGTGTACTTACCATGGGAGATAAATATGGTGATAGTGTACTTACTATGGGAGCATGGGAGGTGAGTATAGTGGTAGTGTGCTTACAATGGGAGGTGAGGATGGTGGGAGTGTACTTACCATGGGAGGTGACTATGGTGGCAGTGTACTTACCATGGGAGGTGAGGATGGTAGCGACGACCTCACAGAACTGTGGGAAGGTGATGGTGTCACCGTTGACCCCCAGGGTCACCACGGCGGAGGTCACACTCTGAGGAGAGACAACAGAGGTCAACGGAAGTTGGTAACGGGAGGCGCTAATGAGTTAACACATAATTAAGATTCTTGCTTGTGTGGCAGACAGTGCTTGTGGTGTGGCAACACTGCTGTAGATAGTGTTTGCATTGTGGCAACACTACTATAGCGTTTGTAGTGTGGCAACACTGCTGTAGATAGTGTTTGTGGTGTGGCAACACTGCTGTAGATAGTGTTTGTGGTGTGGCAACACTGCTGTAGATAGTGTTTGTAGTGTGGCAACACTGCTGTAGATAATGTTTGTAGTGTGGAAACACTGCTGTAGATAGTGTTTGTGGTGTGGCAACACTGCTGTAGACAGTGTTTGTGGTGTGGCAACACTGCTGTAGATAGTGTTTGTAGTGTAGCAACACTGCTGTAGATAGTGTTTGTAGTGTAGCAACACTGCTGTAGATAGTGCTTGTAGTGTAGCAACACTGCTGTAGATAGTGTTTGTAGTGTAGCAACACTGCTGTAGATAGTGTTTGTGGTGTGGCAACACTGCTGTAGATAGTGTTTGTAGTGTGGCAACACTGCTGTAGATAGTGTTTGTAGTGTGGCAACACTGCTGTGGATAGTGTTTGTAGTGTGGCAACACTGCTGTAGATAGTGTTTGTAGTGTGGCAACACTGCTGTAGATAGTGTTTGTAGTGTGGCAACACTGCTGTAGATAGTGTTTGTAGTGTGGCAACACTGCTGTAGATAGTGTTTGTGGTGTGGCAACACTGCTGTAGATAATGTTTTTATTGTAGCAACACTGCTGTAGATAGTGTTTGTAGTGTGGCAACACTGCTGTAGATAATGTTTGTAGTGTGGCAACACTGCTGTAGATAGTGTTTGTAGTGTAGCAACACTGCTGTAGAAAGTGTTTGTAGTGTGGCAACACTGTTGTAGATGTTTGTATTGTAGCAACACTGCTGTAGATGTTTGTATTGTAGCAACACTGCTGTAGATAATATTTGTAGTGTGGCAACACTGCTGTACATGTTTGTATTGTAGCAACACTGCTGTAGATAGTGTTTGTAGTGTGGCAACACTGCTGTAGATAGTGTTTGTAGTGTGGCAACACTGCTGTAGATAATGTTTGTATTGTAGCAACACTGCTGTAGATAGTGTTTGTAGTGTGGCAACACTGCTGTAGATAGTGTTTGTAGTGTGGCAACACTGCTGTAGATGTTTGTATTGTAGCAACACTGCTGTAGATAGTGTTTGTAGTGTAGCAACACTGCTGTAGATAGTGTTTGTAGTGTAGCAACACTGCTGTAGATAGTGTTTGTAATGTGGCAACACTGCTGTAGATAATGTAGTGTGGCAACACTGCTGTAGATAGTGTTTGTAGTGTAGCAACACTGCTGTAGATAGTGTTTGTAGTGTGGCAACACTGCTGTAGATAGTGTTTGTAATGTGGCAACACTGCTGTAGATGTTTGTATTGTAGCAACACTGCTGTAGATAGTGTTTGTAGTGTAGCAACACTGCTGTAGATAGTGTTTGTAGTGTAGCAACACTGCTGTAGATAGTGTTTGTAATGTGGCAACACTGCTGTAGATGTTTGTATTGTAGCAACACTGCTGTAGATAGTGTTTGTAGTGTAGCAACACTGCTGTAGATAGTGTTTGTAATGTGGCAACACTGCTGTAGATGTTTGTATTGTAGCAACACTGCTGTAGATAGTGTTTGTAGTGTAGCAACACTGCTGTAGATAGTGTTTGTAGTGTGGTAACACTGCTGTAGATAGTGTTTGTAGTGTAGCAACACTGCTGTAGATAGTGTTTGTAGTGTGGCAACACTGCTGTAGATAGTGTTTGTAGTGTGGCAACACTACTATAGATAGTGTTTCTAGTGTGGCAACACTGCTGTAGATAGTGTTTGTAGTGTGGCAACACTACTATAGATAGTGTTTCTAGTGTGGCAACACTGCTGTAGATAGTGTTTGTAGTGTAGCAACACTGCTGTAGATATTGTTTGTATTGTAGCAACACTGCTGTAGATAGTGTTTGTAGTGTAGCAACTCTGCTGTAGATAGTGTTTGTAGTGTGGAAACACTGCTGTAGATAGTGTTTGTAGTGTAGCAACACTGCTGTAGATATTGTTTGTATTGTAGCAACACTGCTGTAGATAGTGTTTGTAGTGTAGCAACTCTGCTGTAGATAGTGTTTGCAGTGTGGAAACACTGCTGTAGATAGTGTTGTGGTGTGGCAACCATTGTTGTAGATAGTGTTTGTGGTGTGGAAACAGTTTGTAGTTTTGAGTGTGGAACAATGCTGTAGATAGGGGTTTTTTAGTGTGGCAAACTTTTTTTAGATGGTTTTTTGTTTTTGGGGCCCAACACTTTGTAGATAGTGTTTGTGGTTTGGCAAAAATGCTGTGTTTTTTGTTTTGGGGACAACCTGTGTAGATAGTTTTTGTGGTGTGGGAAACATTGCTGTAGTATGTTTGTAGTGTGGCAAAAAATTCTGTGGAAAAGTTTTTTTTGGTTTGTGTGTTGGGAAACACTTTTTTAATATTTTTTTTCCCAAAACTCCTTAAAAAATTTTTTTTTAAAACTTTTCCCTTTTAAAATTTTATTCCCAAAAAACTCCTTAAAAAAAAAAAAAAACCAAAAAAAACCCCAAAAAAAATTTAAAAAAACCCCAAAACCACCCAAACCACCCCCCCAAACCCCCCCCCCCCCCCCAAACCCCCCCCCCCCCCCCCCCCCCAAAAAACCCCAAACCCCCCCCAAAAAAAAAACCCCAAAACCCCTTTAAATTTTTTAAAAAACCCCCCTTTGGGGGGGAAAACAATGTGAAATAGTTTTTTGTAGTGCGGCAACATTTTTCTGTGGGACAGCGTTTGCAGTGTGGCAACACCCCCCTGTAGTTTTTGTAGTGTGCCAACATGCTGTAGATAGTGTCTTTTGTGGGGGCAACATTGTTGTAGATAGTGCCTGAGTGTGGAAACCCACTGCTGTAGTAGTTTTTTGAAAGTGGGGCCCAAACATTGCTGTAGATAGTGTTTTGTAGTGTGGCAACCTGTTTTGGGGGTAGGGTTTGTAGTGTGGAAAACACCGTTTGTAGTAGTGTTGTAGTTTTTTGAAAACCTGCTGTGGTTAGTGCCCCCTGTAGTGTGGAAACACTGCTGAGTTTCTGTTTGTAGGTGGCAACACTCCCCCCCCCCCCCCCTTGTAGATAGCGTTTGGGGTTTTTGGGGCCCAACATGCGTAGTAGTTTGTAGTGGGGGCAACACTGCTGTAGTGTTTTTTGTGTGGCAACCCTGCTGCAAAATTGTGCTTTTTAGTGAGCAACACTGCTTTTGATAGTGTTTGTGGTGTGGAAAACACTGCTGTAGATACTGTTTGTAGTGTGGCAAGGGCTGCTTTAGATAATGTTTGAAAATTGGGGCCCCCCCACTGCTGTAGTAGTGCTTGAAGTGGGGGCAAATGCTGTGATAGGGTTTGTGGTGTGGCGACATGCTGTAGATATGTTTGTAGTGTGACAACATGCTGTGAAGTTTTTTGTAGTGTGGAACACTGCTGTAGATAGTGTTTGGGGTTGTGGAACAGCTGTGTGTTTGAGCGTGACAACACTGTTGTAGATAGTTTTTCGTAGGGGAAACATTGCTGTAGATAGTGTTTTTTAGTGTGGAAAACACTGCTGTAGATAGTCCCTTTTTATTGTGGAACACTGTTGTGGTTTGTTTGAAATTGTGGCAACCCCCTTAGAAAAGTGTTGTGTGTGGAAAAAAGGGCTTTTGGTTTGGGGTTTGTAGTGTGGAAAAACACTGCTGTATTTTAGTTTTTTGTATTGTGGCAACACTGCTGTAGATACGGGTTTTTAGGGGGGCCCAAATTGCTGTAAAATAGTTTTTTGTGTGTGGCAAACGCTGTAGTTAGGCTTGTAGTGTGGCAACACCGCTGTAGATATTTCTTGTAGTGTGGCAACACGGGCTGTGGTTGTGTCTGAAATGGGGGAAAACACTGCTTTTTAGATATGTTTGAAAGAGGGGGAAAACATGCTGTAAAATAGCGTTTGTGGTGTGGCAAACCACTGCTTAGTGTTTGTGTGTGGAAAACATTTGCTGTAGATAGTTTTTGGTAGTGCGGCAACACTGTTGTAGTGTTTGTAGTGTGGCAACACTGCCCCTAGATAGTTTTTGTGGTGGAAACCCATGCTTGGATAGTGTTTTGGGGGGCGGCAAACGCTGGGGGATAGTGTTTGTAGTGTGGCCCAACACTGCTGGGGGATAGTGTTTGTAGTGTGGCAACATGCTTTTGGAAATAGTTTTTGTAGGGGTGGAAACCCAATGCTGGGGGTAGTGTTTGTAGTGTGGCAACCTGCTGTGGATAGTGTTTTTTGTTTTGGAAAACACTGTGTGGTTTGTGTTTGTAGGTGGGGGAAAAACACTGCTGTGGATAGTGTTTGAAGTGTGGCAACCTGCTGTGGATGGGTTTTTGTAGTGTGGCAACACTGCTGTGGATAGTGTTTGTGTTGGGGCCCAACACATTTTATAATCAAGGGGGAGCTTTAAAAACTTGAAGGGTTATGCAGCGCCTGGGGGGGAATGTCGAAGGTATTCAGGCTTAATTCTTTGAACTGGGCACAGACCCAAATTTCCTTAGATCAAAAGCCCCTCGGGGGACTTCAAGGAAACCCTTCCCTTGGGGGTGTGGGGCCCAACACAACAGTAGAAAATTTTAAATGGGGGAAAACACGGAAATCTGATTTTGGGTTTGTGTAGGTAATTTGAGAGGGTTGCGGCCCGAACTCGATCATAGAGAAGGGGGGTTTCAGGGGATATAAATGTTCTGGGAAAACGTAAAAAGGGAAGGAGGGAAAAGATGACCCCAATATCAAAAATTCTTTCCTACGAGGAAAGATTGAGGCCCTGAATCTGCACACTCTTAAAAGGGCCCTGGAATTAGGGGGGATAAAAATGGGGTTTGTATAAGTGGAAAACAGGAAAAAAATAAAGGGGATGTATGAAACTTTTTTTAAAA